CAATCTTTTGAGAAAAAGAGTCTCCAGAATTTTAGAGGCGATGGGTAGCCAACTGATTGGGAGATATGACTCAACTCTGTCAACTTTTTCCTGGTTTACGAATCATCTTTACCTGGGAAACTTTCCATTTAGGTGGAACGAAACCAGATGAGAAGATTGCGTTATAAATATAAGTCAGGAAAGTGATTCCTTCTTCCGGGACCTGTTTTAATATTTCTCCAGTGATTAGATCGTAACCGGGAGCCTTCTTAGCTTTGAGTTTTTTGATCGCTTCCTTAACCTCAGCTTCTGAGAATTTTTTTATGGGTGGGTCCATTTGGTAGGGTTGTTCGAGAGTCTGTCTTACTTTTTGTGCAGTATAGGGAGAGGGTTCAATTTCATGCGGAGCAAACACATTTTTTAGGTGACGTGCAAATGTGCTTGCTTTTTCGAGATCACTTTTAGCCCATTGGTTGTTTTCCATTCTGATGGCGGGTTGTGCCAGAGTTGGCGTCTTTAATTTGCTTGCTGCTTTCCAGAGAGAATAATCGCTGGCAGCTGTTGAATCTAAGTTACTGAGGTAATGATGAAGTTGGGAATTGCGTTCTTTTTGCAAGATTTCTTTGAGCTCTCTCGTTAGCGTAGTTAATCTTGATTTGTCTTCGGGATGTCTAGTCTGGTGCCACTTCTTTCTAGCCTGGCGTTTTTTGGTCAGTTTTTCTTTTACAAGAGAAGGGATTATTGTACGCTGTGATTTGCTTAGAATGGGTGTTGATCTCCAAGCAGCTTGTTGGATGCAGTTATTGAAGTGTTCAACAGCTGCAATGATATCTTCGCTAGATTTCAGCGAGTGGTTCAAGTTTAATTTTGAAGATGTTAGGCTTTGGAAGAGATTCCAGTCAGTTCTGTTGTTGTGAAGGGAACATTGAGAGTTTGAGTGAACAAGATTATTGCTTAGAGTGACCATTACGGGAGAATGGTCAGAGCATAAATCGAAACAGGGATTACATATTATTTCATTATCTGCAATACCTTTAAACACGCAAAAGTCTATTAAGTCTGGAGTGTTTTTGGTATCAGTTGGCCAATACGTTGGTGAGCCTGAGAAGGCTGAGTTAAGATTTAATCTTGCCATAACCGCAAAGAGTTGTCGGCCTTTAGGAGTGATGAGGCGAGATCCCCATTGTGGGTGTTTTGCGTTGTAGTCTCCTCCAGCTAAAAACCTGCTTCCTAGAGTTTGAACAGTTTAACATAATCTTCTGACTTGATCGCATGCTTGGGTGGGCTATATATTGCTGAGATTGTTATTTGGCCTTTCAAGTCCTCGACAACTATATTAGTAGCTTCTGTGCAGTATGAGTTAATATTAAAGTGTTTAATATTGTTTTTTATTAATATAGCTGAGCCAGCATGTGCTTTTTTATCGGGATGTATTGTGTGATAGAGTTTGTAATTCGGTATTTGGAAATAGCTCTTTTCGGTGAAATGGGTTTGGGATATTAGGAGAATATCTATATTATTAGACTTGAGTAGCATTTTAACCTCGAGTATGTGTTTTGATAGGCCATTAGCATTCCACAGGAGAATATTCATGGGATTGTAGGGATGCCGGACTTCGTCGTAAGGGTGACGAGAAGATTCATCATCATAGTTGTGATTTGTTGCATAACTTGCTTGAGAAGCATTATCATTTCTCGCATTTCGCTTGAGGCATCAGAGGCGTTTTCTTTTGATTGAGGGATTGAGTTACTAGGACTCGGATCTTGTGTGCTTTTCAACATTTGGGAGTAAGAAAGTAAATTTCGGGGCGGTTGCGAGACTCGATTGGGTGAAATTGGAGGTGATTGCTGCTGGCTGGTACTTTTGGGATTGTTGTCCTCCATTCTTCTTAAGATCTTAATATTGGGTATTTAAGTTTCTGCAGATTTTTGTACACCATGTAGCTTTTATAGTTTGCTGGGTGATTTCCTTCACACAGAGCACATTTAACATCGTTGGATTTTGTCTTGCGCGAGCAATCTGCAGACAAGTGGGTGCAAGCGCATTTAATACATACCGGTCTTCTACGGCAGTATGCTTTTTTGTGTCCATACTGTTGACAGTTAGCGCATTGCGGGATTTCGCGTTTTGAGCGTGGGGGTTCAAATACAATTTTTGTGTTAAAGAGATATTTGATATCGTATATTTCCTTGTTATTAGGGTTTGCTTTTAGCTCTACAATGTACATTGGTAGCGGTTTTTTCGTGTTTCTGTGTTTCATATTGTAAATGTTAATAGGGATATGACCGAGATTTTGTAGGGCTTCAGCGATTTCTTCGGTGCCAATAGACGAGTGCATATTTCTGAGTATAACTTTGAAATTTCTTTCTTGGTTTGGCTTGTATGTATAAAACTCAGTGTTTTTTTTTTATCTAGTTGCTGAACAATTGCTTTGTAGGCCTCGGGAGTTCTTGCTTGTATTTTAACTTGCTCATTGCTTATGAATTTTAAGTCGTACATACTTGGAGCAATTTCGGATAAAAGCTTCATTAGGGAGCTAATGTTGCTTACTTTATCAACGAAGATTGGTGGGGGCTTGGGATTATTTTCTTTGGGCTTTGGGGCTTCATCGTCTTCTATTTCAGGAGATGAAAATCTATTTTCTTTAGACTGGGATTCGCCTAGCCAGTATTTATCAAGCTTTGCTTGTTTTTTGTTATTTGATGGCTTACCTGGGCTTTCTCGGGGCCTTTTTTTGGGTTCTACTGTGGTCCATTCCTTACCTGGGGTAGGTTTATCATTTGAGGCTTGCTGTTGGTACAGTAATTGTAATTGCTTTTGAAGTAGCTCAATTTGATCCTGGATATTTGGATTTTTACTATTGGCCGAGGTGGGGCATTGTGAGCTCCATGAATTTGGTGACTGTCATGAGATCGTCAGTTGTTGTTGCTGTTTCTGTTCTTTCTTTTCCGGTTATTGCTGTTGCTTTTCCTGTTGTGTCTGTGTTTTTTGCGGTGTTTCGGGCTGCAGAGGAAGTTGGGATTCTTGTTGCTGTTGTGACCTTTGTTGTCTATGCTGTTGTTGTTGTGGCTGAGACGATTCCTGCCCTCCCCCTTTGGGAGGGGTACGATTTAAGGGCATTTTGAAACTGGGTGTTTTTGGGGTATTTTTATCTTTTATTTTTTAAATATAAATATACTATGGCAACCCTGAAGTAGTGTCAATACTTAGAAGTGCCCAAAACATAGCATACTTTTAGGCTGCCTGTACATCCACTACTGTTTTGTTGCTAGCACTTTTGTTTGTTTCTTTTCAACTCGGCGGAGTCTCACTTGAGAATTTATCACTCGCGCAGGTACAAATTTTTAATTTTAAATATCAAGCTCCACTTTCACTCAGAACTTTTAAAGCACTCCTTAGTGTAAATTGTTGTTAAATATTCACTGTATTATTTTCTTGTCTTTTACTGTTTTTTTTGGATTGATTTATCACTTTGTTGCACTATGTGAAATTTCACGTCCACTCGGTAGGGTTACCAATTAGATTCTCAAATTACATAAAATTTCGACAGACAAAGTTAAATATTGCATACAATTTGGTTGAATAACTAAACTAAAACAATCTAGCAGCAATTTATTGAATCGAGGAAGAGGGTAAATTTATTTTGTATATTATTTTTTAGTGGGCAATTTAAGTTGGAGCTGTGGGCAGCAATACTTGCTTCTTTGGATGCTGAGTTGGATGGAATGTCTGTGGCTGCAGGTTGTGCTGGCGTGCAACAGGGCGCAGATGCTCCAGTAGTGCGATTCACTAACTTTTAACAACGCTACTTGCGGAGTTGTAAACTAACAATTTTAGTTGTTTGCAGTAACGATTGTACGATTAACTAACGTACCCATTAACAACACTAAGCAGCTGACTTTTGATTTTTATTTAAAATGATAAGAAGTGGCACCTCTGTCATCCGAAATGTCAAAATCTACGAAAATCACAAAAGGGAACAGGAAGAAAATAAAGCAATTTACACAGATTCTTCTTAAAATGTAAGTATTTCAATAAATTGCGGAATAGTTGATCGTATTTCATAATTTAACCAACAACTATTGTTCTTTTATCGCAGGATGGCCTCGACTAGCCAAGCAGCCAACAAGCGGAGCCGAGCTTCAATGGAGCAGTTAAGTGGCATGCTGGACTTCTTCTGGGAAAACCCGGGACTAGCCGGTGGGAAGTTTCATCGGCTTCACGGGAAGATGGAGCACGAGAAGAAGTGGGAGGAGATGGCTTCCAAGCTAAATTCCATCGGAGGCGCTCAAAAGTCTGCCGAACAGTGGCGTACAGTAAGTAATAAGCCCATTAAGTTTGAACGTACCAGCAAGCAATGGTGCTGTGCGTATGAACTGGTGAATAGGGAAAAATTTATAATTTTTATTAAGGTCTGTCGTTTGTGAAAATAATTATTAACGTAAGAATATCGGTTTTCTTACACATACAAGTGGAGTCAATCCCATGCATTGTCACTGTGCACAGTCTCGTTTATTGTATGTACATGCATTCATTGTTTGGAACATTTTACCTGTTATTTTTTAATGATACTTTTTTTTTCTTACGTACATAGGTATGGCGCGATTTGAAGAGCCAGTGTTCGAGTGCGCGACAGGAAAAGGCAGCAGGCGTTAACCGGCAACAAGCCCGTTAAGCAAGCTCCTTTAACAGAGCTGGAAGAGCGGATCGTGGCCATAATCGGGAGCAACTATATTGAGGGCCACGAGTCTGTGGCAGAAAATGTACCAATGAACTTGGTAAGTTTTAAGTGACTTATTTCTGACTCAGTATTAACATCTTTTTCATTATTAGGTGCTCCAATTGGCCATGGAAGACGGTGAGGAGATTGTTTTCCTGGATGAACTGGTGGAGTGCGAAGGCTTAATAGAGGAGTAGACGCGGCCGGAAACTCCAAAAACTCCTACACTTAGAACCCCTCGCAGAGGATTGAAGAGGAAGAGAGAGGAGGAGCAGATCGACGTCCAAAATAAATTTTTGGAAATTGCCAAAACGCAAGCCGGGGCAACCAAAGTAAATATTTTATTATTAGATTTTGCAATTTTTAATGATTGTTTTTTAAAATACATAGATGCTGTCAGAAAGTTTCGCCAGACTGGTGGAGGTACCATTCCAACTGGCGGGGGAGCTCCGCGGATACCGAGAGGGGTTGAAAGCCTGTGCTGATGCAATAAACAATTTGGCCAGGGCACTCGGCCCACAATAATTTTTTTGAGCCAGATTAGGTTAAGAAAAGTAATGATTGTTTTTTAAAATACATAGAGGCTGTCAGAAAGTTTCGCCAGACTGGTGAAGGTACCATTCCAGCGGGCGGGGGAGCTCCGCGGATACGGAGAGGGGTTGAAAGCTTGTGCTGATGCAATAAACAATTTGGCCAGGGCGCTCGGCCCACAATAATTTTTTTGAGCTAGATTAGGTTAAGAAAAGTAAAAGCAGATTGAGAATTATGTTAAGAAAGTGAATTGGTACCTTTCAATTTTCTGCAGAATATTGTATTATATACATACACTGGTGGCCTGATAATTAGAAACCCGAGTTCACAAGTTTTTTTTTATTTTTTTCCTTTTTTTTGTTATTTTTTGGCCTTTTAACAATTATATTCAACAATTTTATAATGAGCTCGAGGCCATTTTTTAAATGAAAATTTATTGTGGAAAAGCAACAATAATTTGAAAAAATGGTAGAAGTGATAGCTATTTCGGAAATCACCACATTTCCTCATCAGACTTCTTTCAGTAGGATTCGAACCGACGATCCCACTGACTCAGCCAGTTGCCTATGCACCGTGCTAAG